TTCTTGAACTGCTACAGTCTATGTGTTATAGGTAGACCCACAATGCTGTTAGGGTGGGAGTTCCAGAATTTTGATCCAGCAACTGTAAAAGAATGGTGATATATTTCCAAGCCAGAATGTTGAGTGGTTTGGAAGGGAACTTGCAAATGATGGCGTTCCCAAGTATTTGCTACTCTCATCCTTCTAGATGGAGTGGTTGTTGGTTTGGAAGGTGCTGTCTAAGGATCTTTGGTGAATTTCTGCAAGGCATCTTGTAGATAATACAACACTGCTGCTATTGAACATCAGTAGTGAAGGGAGTGGATGCTTGTGGATGTGATGTCAATCAAGCGGGCTGCTTTGTCCTGTATGGTGTCAAGCTTCTTGAGTGTTATTGAAACTGCACCCATCCAAGCAAGTGGGGAGTATTTCTTCAAACATGCCTAGTAGACGACAGACAGGTTTTGGGGTTCAGGAAATGAGTTACTTGCTGCAGTGTTGCTAGTCTCTGACCTGCTCTTGTAGCCACTGCATTTATATGGCAAGTCCAATTGGGTTTCTGGTAAATGGTAGCCGCTAGAATGTTGATAGTGAGGGATTCACTGATGGTAACACCATTGAATGTAAAGGAACAATGGTTAGATTGTCTCTTATTGGAGATGGTCATTACCTGATTTTTTTTGCATGATTGTTACTTGCCTTTTGTCAGTCCAAGCCTGGATATGTCCAGGTTCAAGCCCACCTGCAGCAGAGGTGTGTAATAACATATCTGAGCAGGTTGATTAAAATAACAATGCAGACCAAAAGAGTTCTTATGGTGCAGTTGGAGTATCCCTACTTCTAAACCAGGAGACCTGGGTTCAAGCCCCACCTGCTCTAGAGGTATGTAATAACATCCTTGAACAGATTGATTTGAAAAAATAAATAGGTTAACAGTCAGCGAGGGACCCTCTTGTGGCTCAAAATCAGACCAGAGCCCAAAGGAGTTAAAAATAATTCCAGAGTTGGATCAATAGCCAAATAACAGCAAAAAATACCAGAAAAAGTGACAGCAGATAGCAGGGTAGAGCCATACATCTCCTTAACAGTGAATTTGAAGGAGGCCCAGAGAAACTGAAGCTGCATGCTCACTGAGTGGAAGTGTTACAGAGGAATAAGGCAGAAGCTGAACATCCACCTGAGGACCTTAGTGTTCCAGGAAAAGTGGAACAGGTTTGGGGAAAACCCATTTTCCTAGTTAAGAAGAGTAAATATACCTCACACATCTGTTGGAGATCACCACAGGCATATAAATAAGGTAGAAACAGAGTTACTCATTGGAACGTCAAAGGCACAGAAGCAAATTTCAATCCTTAACCAATCAATTTGAGTTGATGCAAAGTTAAATGAAAATGTGAGATGCCAGTCCAGACAACCTGCAAGAGTCAAATATTAGACTGCCGCCACATGACAACCTAGAATCAAAGTTGTAAAAATGCTTGAATCTAGTGTACTGCTGAGGGAGTGGAGTTAAAACTTGGAAAGATGGCACAGCCCAGAAATCAAGTCCAACTGTTATTCTTAAATCATGTTTTGTATTGTTATTTCATACTAACCTTGTGACAGAATGCTCACCCTAAACAAAAAGGAGAAATATTATTTGTATTCTTTCCTCGTGACAGGGAGGTATTATGATAGTGGTAAAAATGAATTATCAAGATTTGATTTCCATCGTCTTATTTTAATTACAGGGAGTTTTCTTGGACTCAAATTGTTTGAATAAAATAAAAGTAATGACTTAACATGGCCCCAGTGATCACCTGATCCAGTTGAGCCAGTTCTGTTTCGTTGGTTTAGTTATGGACCAGACCAGACCCTCCTCAAAATATTTCAGGAAGGTAGCCTAGACCCTAACATTTTCTTATTTTAAAGGCAAATATAAACAACTGTGTTCCAGATGCAATTCAACTAACTTTGCAATTCAACTAGTCAAACTACTCAGCATTAAACTAAAAACAATTTATTCAAATAATATGGTTAAAATACAACCAAAGAAAAAGAAAGAAGGACTTAGAATAAGTTAACTCTATTGGAAAGCTTAACAGAATAATAGATACAATAATTATTACCAATTAACTATTCCAATTTTGTAATATCTCATGAACACACCCCTTGGCAAAAAGGCAAAGTCCGAAACAGATTGTCTCTCATGCAATCCAGCAGCAGAGAGAAAAAAAATCAAGTGAAAACTCAGAGATAGTAGCAGCCAGAAGACATTTACAGGGGCTTCTAACTCCGCTGAGACTCCCAACAGTAACTGCTGAATTTCAAAGCTAAAAACTAAATCTAGAAATTCTGGTCTATAAGAGCTAGCCACACTCATCCAGGCTACTTCTATTGTTCCAACATTTAAAAAAAAAGCCCAAAGGCATCCCATGCTGTTTACTTTATGGACCTTCACTAGCCAGTTCATTACCTCTGCCTTAAAACCTCTCCACAAAAAAGGACTAAATACACCTGTTCTTGCCGCAGCATCGTCACAACACCCTGAACTGAAATTAACGTGTCATCATGATGACTGAAACCAGCCACCTCAAATTCCTACCTTCTATTTGATTTGCACATTTTACACCTTTCACAGATTAGGATGAAAGTTGTCCACAGAGGATCCAGTTTAGGACTAATGTTCCCAAAAAATGGGAACATAAGAAGGAACTATATATTATGCAACCTACGCAGCAACCTTTTGTGGACATTTCAAACCATTGATTGCAGTGTTGTTGTTGTGCTGTAGCAGCTTTGCTAGAGGTATGATTCAGTTTTGGAGTAGAAGTCTGAAGAACTACAACTGGAATGTTGTACTGTACCCAGTGCAATTAATGCTTCCTTTATTTCATCAGCTGAGGACTGGCATTTGTTGTTAGTGGAGAACTGGGGAGGAGATTGAGCGGGTTCATTCTCTCAGCCCCTCTGAAGCAAATAAACATCTCACATCCACATTCTTGAGCAAAACCAAAGGCTGAATTGTTTGTGACTTGGAGTATTTTGCACATTTTAACTAAGTGTAGAAAATCCTGCGTTTGTTACACTTAGTGCATTGAGGTTGGTTAGCTGATTTGGCTGGATGGTTGGTCAGAGATGCCAATAGTATAGGTTCAATTTCTGCTCCTGCTGATGTTACCATGAAGGACTTGCCTTCTCAATCTGACCCCATGCCTAAGGCATTGTGACTTTCAGGTAAAAACACCACCAGTCGTCTTTCTCCAATACGAGTGTGTGACTATGGTGACTTTATCATTTATAGTTAGCCCTCACACAATATAGTGTACTTATTTAACTTGACATAAAACTAACCAATGGAAAAATTTATAGTGACTGATGTTATTAGTTAGAGGTAGCATTCAAGTAAAAATCTACATTTTGTCAAACTCCAATGGCACCATCCATTGTTCTCTGTCTAAGCAGTCTGATATTTGTTGCAGTTGGTTAGAAAATGAGACTTTTCTTTTGTTAAGAAGAGCACTATTGTTTTGCAAAGACAATTTTCTCATCCAGAACCCTGATTTAATTTAAATTTGCTGTCTTGACTACATGGATTTACTCCATTGAAGATAGAGGATGTTTCAATTTTTAGACTAGTATGTTACTAGTCACCATTTTCTTCCTGTTCATTAAGCCTTCCAAAACCATACATTAGCTGCTTTCTTCACAACTGTGATCGATTCCATCATATCCTTGGTCAGTCTTGGACTGAAACAGTGCATACAGCCACACCTGCTATTTTACTGTGTTTCTTTTCCTGCACTTCTTTTACTCATGACCTCTCAATCACTAAGGCTGCACACTTCAACCTTTGTATTTTCATCCTTTTCTGCTTCTGCTTTAGCCCATCTACAGCTGAATTCATCATCCATGCTTTTATGATTTCTGGGCTCGATTATTCAGTGTCCTCCCATGACCTCCCATTTTCCTCCCCTCCATAAATTTTAACTCATGTGAAACTCTGCTGCTCCTGTTCTAACACCCAATAAATCCCATTGTCCAATTAGTTCTGTACTCATGGAGTTACATTTATTCCTGATCTATAATAAATCAAATTTGAAGTTAATTCTCCACCTTGCTGTAGCACTAACATTTCTGTCCTCCGACGACTGTGATGTTCCAATAAAACTCAATATAAACTTGAGGAACAACATGTCTTTTGATTAGACATTTTAAAACTTATGGACTCAACATTGAGTTCAACAATTTCAGGTTATAGTTTCTGCTGTATTTTGCATATCAGGCTGTAACCACTGCTCCATTTTGTTTCCTTTTCTACACTTGACTCATTTTATTTCTGTTTTGGTCATCACTATGTGCTCCAAGCCCTTTTGTTTTATTTCTGGGCACATCGGCATTCACTTTGGCCCTCGGAATCTAACTCTTATGTCATTCAGTCTCTTCTAATATTCACCTTATCACTGACCTTCCTTTTTGTCCTTATCCTCTCCACCCTTTCCTCAAAACCTGGTTCATTTCTAGTTTTTTCCCATTCTGATGAAAGGATTGCAGGGATAAAACATTAATGCAAATCTTCCAACCTGGGTGAATATCCACATTTTTGACCCAAATCAGACAAGAAGTTACCTACATACCTTCCTGTGATTTTTTGGGCCTAAATTCTGATGTAGAATTCACTCCAAAAGATGCAGCAAATCATGCAGAGAGTATCGGAATAAATTTTCACAGCAGCCACACACCCTTTTAATGATGTGAACTGCCATATTCCATTAATAAACTTAAACGTCCTAAAACTTCTTTTGGCAAATAATGAAAGAAAGTAATTATGTCCAGTAAGTGGGCAAGTGGGTAGTATGGCAGATTGGTAAAGGGCGCAAGATGTTAGGTGGGTAATGGGGCACTCTAGCTGCCAATGTCCAAATACTTGTACCTCAGTTAGAGTGTATACCTTGAAGAGAGACTTGAGAAAATTGAAGAAATAAATGATCATAAGGTCATTAACTTTGATATACTGAATCCAAAATGTAATTTCTTTTAAGCAACTGAGGAGTATTGTCGAGCGGAATCATCAAGAAGCGATTAAAGAGCTGGGTGAGTAAACAGACAGTCTTAAAATTATGCTGATAAAGGATAAAAAGCATTACGATAGATTAGCAGATCAGTTAATATTCAATAAAATACTGAGTGACATGAATTAAAACAAGAAACTGAAACACATTAAACAGTAATTTACTAATTTAGGAAATAGGTTCATTTAATACATTTAAACTTATTTGTTTTTACCAGTACTAGGTGTGAAAATGTTTCACTAGCAAAATTAGATCTTACATCTTTAACCAAAATTTTTGATTGGATTAACTATTCATGGCTTAATTATTCATCTGATCTGTCTCCTTATATTAAGAGCCGTTGTTCTTACATAGTTTATTTTTATGCACAGAAGTTATCTAACCTCTTTTTTTCTCCAGCAGAGACTAGGATATTGTTGAATTTGTATTTACTGGGTAGTTAGACAATACTGAATGTTAAGCCACAACCTGACTATATTTCTCACTGTTGAGTTGAACCCAAGAATTGGGGAGGGAAGTCTAGGGGGAGCAAATTCTTCTAATCACAATCTAGTTGGAAATTTTTTTATAGTGAATTGTGTTGGAAGTTCCTATGCATTTCGTTATGTTTTTATGTCTGTGTATGCAAACTCCAGGTGGACAAGTACACTATACAATAATCATTAAAATACGAGATGCTACTCAGTTCTTAACAGACAGATACATTCCAGTTCTAAAAAATGTTATGATTTAACAACAAGTAAGTTCTGAGTGAACAAAAACAGAAATTGCTGGAAAAACTCAGCAGGTCTAGCAGCATCTGTGGAGTGAAATCAGAGTTAACATTTTGGGTCTAGTGACCCTTCCTCAGAACTGTTCTGAGGAAATGCTGAGTGACATCAGGTACATTTCTTATTGCAATTAGACTTCCTGGTAATAAAGACAACATAGGAGGACAACTAGACCATCTCTTCTACTCTCAAGGTTGCTCTGCCATTCTAGATAATGGCTAATCATCTACCTCAATGCTATTTTCCTGCAGTATTCCCATATACCTTCAAGTCATTTATATCAAGAAGTGAATTGATCTCTGTCTTGAACATAATGATTGACCTTTCATTACCCTCAGGTAGAGATTTCCAAAGACTCTGAAGAGAAGAAATTCTCATTCCAGTCCAGAATGGCATGCCCCTTATTTTGGGAATGTGCCCCTCCAAGTTCTAGATACCCAACCAGAGGAAACATCTTTTCTGCATCCATCCTGTCTAAATTTCTTAAGATGTTGTAAGTTTCAAGAAGATCAGCTATTATTCTTCTAAATTCCAGAAATTACCTGCCCGGTCTTATCAGTCCCAACTCATAAGGCAGTCCTGCCATCCCAGGAATTAATCTCATGAACTTCCACAGAACTTTGTTTTTGACAAGTTTGTCTGTGCTTAGGTAAGCAGGCCAAAATTGCGCGCAACACTCCGGTTGTGGCCTCACCAAGAGTCTGTACAATTGCAGCAAGGCAACTTTATTACTCTAGTCAAATCCTCTTACAATCAAGTCCAACATTAAATTTTCCTTCCTAATTGCTTGCTTGCTAACTTACAGTTACTTAGGGAAAAAAAGAGACCAACGTCCCTATGGACTTAAATACTTCTCAATCTCTTACCATTTAAATATACCCTGTACCTCTGTTCCTTATACAAAAGTGAATACCCTCACACTTATACATATTATATTCCATCTGTCACATTCTTGCCCACCAGCAATACCTCACTAGTCACAATTTGCCAACCTGAAAATTATCCATTTATTCCTAATTGCTGCTTTCTTTCTGTTCATCAGTGTTCAATTCATGGCAATACGTTATGCCCTATCTAAGTTTATTTTCTAACTGCCAGAGTGGAATCCTATTGAGCATTTTCTAAATATCCTATGACCAAATCCAGTGTCCCACCTCATCTACTGCGCTGGTACCATCTTCAAAAAGCTCCACAAATTTGTCAAACATGATGTCCCTTTCGTGAAAGCATGCTGGCTTTCCCAGTTATTCATTCTTTTCAAGTGTTTCATTATCACATTCTTTATAATCCATACTAGTATTTTGCCTACCACTGACATGAGGCTAACAAGGGTATGGTCCTCTTTATTCCTCTCTTCTCTCTTTTGTAAATGGTAGATTTCTAACCTTTCGATCTTCAGGTATCATTCCAGAATCACCAAAGTATCCACCACATCTATAGCTATCACTTTCAACTTTCTGGGATGCAGATTATTGGTCCTGGTGATTTGTTAACTTTCAGTTGTAATTTCTCCAATACTTTTTTACTAATTTCTTGCAGTTCCTCATTCTCACTAGTTCCTTAGATTGCTAGTATTTCTGGTAGATTTCTCAGATCCTCCTCCTTGAAGGCAGACATAATGTAATTATTTAGCCAATTTTGTCCACAATTTCTCACTTAACTTCTGTCTATCCCTGCAATTGCCCTGTTTGTCTTTGCAAATCATTTCCTTCTTACATGTCTACAGCAGCTCTTATTTTCCTTGCTATTTTACACACATATTATATTCTCTGTTTACCAGTATCTTGGCCCTCCTTTGCAGAATTCGAAAATGCTTCCAATTCCAATGCTTCTATGGTGATGTAACTTAAAGGCAGGCTTCACATTATTAAGTGTTAGTGGGATGATGCACTGGAAAACAAGTTTAACTAATCCCAGATCTGTCACAAAAGTTAAAGATTTATAAAAGTACATAGAATTCTCCACAACAGCAACAATAGCAACAACACTGAGAAAGGGTCTGGAGAAGGGTCACCGGACCCAAAACATTAATTCTGATTTTTCACCACAGATGCTGCCAGACTTGAGCTTTTGCAGTAACTTCTGTTTTTGTTCCTCGTTTACAGCGTCTGCACTTCTTTCGGTTTTTACATAGAATTCTCCAATTTATTTGTCTTTCAGGCCCAGGTTAGCAGAGAGCTTGAACCAGGTGTCTGTAGTTAACAAGAATGACTATTTATTATGAATAGGTTCTAGCTACAGGTAAATAGTTATGAACCATAGCCATAAAACTACCAGTCAACACTCTGACCTATTCATAGAACTCCCCATACACACATGCAGACAGATGAAAAAGATTGGTGATGTTGGTGGAGGGAAAACAAAGAAAGCAGTTCAATGGTCCCCGTCTACAAGGCTTGCTGATAAAATCCTTTAGCTGATCAGAAGCCTGCTCCTTGACCTTCCTTCTCTAGATACTTTTACTTATTTGCAGGAGGCACAAGATGACTCGCTCACACTTATAAAAGTCTCTGACATACTGCTTACAAGTCACAGTTTACAATCAGCTGGTGAGGGCAAATAAACCAGCTAACTTCAGGCTTGAACTGCCTTTTACTGCTTCCCTTCCAGAGATCTAACATCTACTGACCTGAACATGCACACTCCAAAGTTGTTTAACGACCTGGAAGCCAATCATATAGTTAATTTCAGAAAGGAGGTGTTTCCTCATTGATAACTGGTCACCTTTTCACAGACCAGCAACATGTCAAAGTCACCATTCATACACAGTCCTCTTGGCACCAGCTTGTATGTAACTAGACTTCCCTCGCTGCTTGTTCTAAGCATTATTCATGTCAATTGACATCCCACTAGCCAAAGAAACACCAGCCACATTACTGGAGGAAGTAGGAATGCAGACCAGCAGCTCCATCAGCTATGACAACATAGTCAAACTACTGGACTTGTGCCTCACCGCATACTTCGTCTTTAATGGTCAAGCATACAAACAGATCAATGGCACACTGATGGGGTCACCCATCTCAGGACTCATTGCAGAGGCGGTCATGCAAAGACTAGAACACACCACCCTCCCCCTCATTCAACCTAAACTGCGGATCCGGTATGTAGATGACACATTTGTCATTATTAAACGCAACAAATTAGAAGAGACCCACCGCCTCATCAACAACATATTCACTGGGATTAAATTCACAAGAGAAGAAGAAAACAATAATCAGCTTCCATGTCTGGACGTCAGAGTTGAATGTATGACCAATGCGGAGTTCCAAACCTCAGTATACAGGAAAGCAACGCATGTTAACCAAATCCTCAACTCCCACATCAACCACCCCAGTGTCCACAAACAAAGCTGTGTTAGGACACTATTTAAACGGACCACCACTCACTGCAACATGCCAGAACTATGCAGAAAACAGAAAGAGCACCTATACAAAATCTTCGCTATGAACGGACATCCCTGCAACTTCATCCACAGGTGCCTACTAAATAGACAACTGCAAGAGGACACAGTATGCCCTAAAACACTGGCCACACTGTCCTACATCAAGAACATGTCAAAACTGACAACAAGACTCCTATGACCACTAGGAATCATGGTAGCACACAAGCCAACAGCCACTCTACGACAAACACTCACAAGGATTAAAGACCCTATTCATCAGCTAGCAGCAAAATGACATGGCGAACTTTCCTTAATATCAGTACGCTTGGACAATGAAGGCCATCAGTTTAACTGGGACAACTTAACCATAGTAGCCCACGCCAAACATAGACATGCACAGGAATTCCTAGAGGCATGGTTCTCAGCCCATAATGCAATCAACAAACATATAGATTTGGACCCCATATGCAAACCCTTACAGAACAAAACTGGAAATGACACTTCTCCCCATTACAGACTGGACAGTGTAAACTCCAAGCAGAGTAGAACAACATCGCTTCATCGGAGGCCTCACTGACGATGTTACCTAGCATGGTGACAAAACATCTGAACGAAAACAAGCCAGCTTGGTGAACAAGTCAACAACCTCAGCAAAAAAGAAACTTGAAATCAGGATAAACATTCCGCTGATTAGAATCATACCCAGCACAAAGGGATTTGTTGTTGTTGTTGGAGTTAATCACCTGCGCCCCAGAACATCTTTGCAGAAAATTCTCTCTGTGGTGTACGAGGCTCAACAATGATCCAGTCATGAGGTTTACATCAGCTATGGAAATGGAAAAAGAACAATTTAGAGAAAAAAGTTAATTA